AATTTTTTTTGCTAGAAGAAAAGGACATAGAGGGAAATATAGAAATTGTTAGAGAAGATAGAAGAAGAAAAAAAGAGGTAAAGGTAAAAAAAGGTTATGTCCTTGTTAAAACGTTGTTACAATCTTGTTTTACTTTGCCTTTTTTTCTGTTCATTTTTCCTTTGATTTGTTTGTACATTGTAGCTTAAGTTAAGTATTTGAGGGTACACATCATTATATAAATCGTAGATAAACTATTAGCCTGCTGGTGGCAACAGATTCTACCCATGTGACCAGTACAAATCAAGATCAGGCCGGCCTGTCTCTACTGTTCTGTAATGATCTGTACTGTTTTCTTTTCAGTCAGTAGTTATTAAGAAATTTATCCTTAAATGATAAATGGTTTAGTCCCAAAAGAAAGATGGTCAAGTCTATTTAAGATATTTTGCGTGTAAAGGACGAAAGAACATGTTATAACAGTGTTGAAATGAAATAGCAAAATGTTAGCACATCTTGAAACATTCTGTAAACATTGAATTCGTAATACTTGGATGTAAAAAAAAAGATATATTTGATATATTTAATACCTACTCAGTATTTTTGCCCTTTACACAATACCTGAAATTTGTTTTGCTATGATTAATTATGGAAATTATAGAAAAGCCATGATTATGTCTGAAGCTTGTACAGATACTATATTTGGTGTGGTTATTTTACTTAGCTCTTACATCTTTTGAAGATGGTTTACTTACAAATAACAATTTCATCAATCAACACAAGATCTTAAACTACATGTAGTATATAAATGCATAAATAAAGATAAAGTAGATTTTTGAAAATTATGAATATTTAACAATTTCACTGCATTTGGTGCATAATGGCAACTGCAGTATAGACTGCCATGTTCACAAGAATGCAACTTTTTCTAGGTGATTAATCAATTTTTTATTTAAACTTTTAATAGATTTACTAAAAAATATTTTTTCTGTGTATGTTTTTATTCATGTAATTATTTCAAATTTTAAGCAGATATCATAGCACAAAATAAACAAAAATATACAGAATTTCATAAAAACTACCAGATTTACAGGAATTCTTTGGAGTTAATTTCGCAGTGGGATTTGCATTACCATATATACAAATTGTGGTGGTGAAAAGGTTAATTAATAGCAGAGGTAATTAAATCAGTGATAAGTGATGCCTTCTCTTTCTTGTCTTACATACATGTACATGTATATATAATGTGCTGATTTCAGATCAAGGCAAGCCTTAGAGAAAGCCTCAGAAAAGCTTCTGTCATTTTACACAGACGTTTCATTGACATTAGATGTTTGTGGCCTTGGAATTTTAGAAACAATGTGGTATTTGCTAAGGTTAAACATGACCACCAAGTCTCTACTTTGAAAAATGTTGCTGAAATTGTGGAAGAAAGTTTCCTAGAACAGGATATTATCTCCCCTGATCAAAGAGGATTTAAACCACACATCACTATTATGAAATTGTCTAGTGTCAAAGGCTCTAAAAAAAAAGGTGCGTATAGATTTAACTTTTTATTAAGCTGGTTTGTTGAAAACTTCCCACATATCTGTCAAGCCGAGTCTTACTCTTTATCTAGTGAAATATTAGCCTCATGCTGACTTACTAATTTGTTACACATTTCAATGAAAATAAAATACATAAATATTTCAGCTATGAATTCATAAAAAAAGTCATATTTTTAATGTAGACTCTGAACTATTAGTGGTATCTGATGCAGTAATGGGAAGTGTTGATGATCCAGAGTTGATTTAACCATGGATCTTTTAAGAAAAAAACATCTTCTAATATATTTACCAGGGACATATATAATATATTCCCTGATTTCACAATAAGGTAATTTGAAAATGTAAAAAATTTAAACAGCCTGCTGCAATTTTATGTATTTTTCTGAAATATTTAAACTGACAATATGTATGTATATAAGAAATTCTGGTAAATTGGTTGATTGACTATTTTGGAAAATACCCTGGAATGCATCACAGACAACCTAGAACTGTACCTCATTCTAACTTTTGTAAGACATGTAGGAATTAAAGGTAATATAAATATTGGGTAGATAGGATAAAGCTTATAAGGCTGGTCTAGTTTTGTAAGAAAGGCATAATAAAGTTTTTACTGCAGACATCCCAAGTGATATCAAGTATTGTTTTAATATTAGCAAAACCATCAAATGAACAGTTCTTAGGTACTTTTTGAAATTTATATTAAATTAAACTCAAAATAGACAAGAATTAGGTATATATGATAAGATAGCATTAAAATTGTTTTTGCCTTCCCTGTTCATCCGTCTGTCCATCCATATTAAGCTTGTAAGGCTTTCAGAGGTCAAACATTTGAGACATGTTTTTGTGTCAAAAGTTTTCAATTACTTTATTTGCAAAAGAAAGATCTATTTCAGATGATTATATAAAGAGTAAGGAAATAATTTTGGCCTTAATGATGATAAAGTACCATTTAAGAATAATTTAAATAGACAACAAGAGCTGTCGGTAGGACAGCAACGCTCGACTATTCTTAGTGCTTGATAGTAAAAAAAATGCTTGTTACAGTTACCTCCTCCTGTTTACAGGTTGAGGTCATGATGGTGAACAAGTGTGCAAAGTTTCAAAGCCATATGTCAATGGACTTTGAAAATATTTGAACTATTACAAAAACTTTAACGTAAATTCTAAGTCGAAAAAGGGGCATAATTCTGTCAAAATGCTTGATAGAGTTACCGCCTCCTGTTTACAGGTTGGGGTCATGATGGTGAACAAGTGTGCAAAGTTTCAAAGCCATATGTCTATGGACTTTGAAAATATTTGAACTATTACAAAAACTTTAACGTAAATTCTAAGTCGAAAAAGGGGCATAATTCTGTCAAAATGCTTGATAGAGTTACCTCCTTCTGTCTACAGGTTGGGGTCATGATGGTGAACAAGTGTGCAAAGTTTCAAAGCCATATGTCAATGGACTTTGAAAATATTTGAACTATTACAAAAACTTTAACATAAGTGGTTACGCTGACGCCGACGCTCGGGTGACTGCAATAGCTCTACTTATTCTTATCGAATAGTCGAGCTAAAAAGTATCTTGTTTTTTCTAGGTCTGAAGAAGATAGATGAGAAATTGTACAGTGAATTTATAGACACTAACTTTGGATGTGAGAGTATCCACACACTACAACTGTGTGCCATGATGAAACCAAAAGATAAACTAGGATATTATCAGGTTGAGCATAAAGTCCAGTTTGGTAAGTATATACATGTAATGATAAGTACATTAAAATTGGATTTGTTGCCAATTGAATTCTGTGCACTTAAGTGAAATCAGTGTTAAATTTTTATTGTACAATTTTATTCACCAGCCAATAGATATTGTGTGTAACTTGGCAAATGTGGGTACATAGGTACAAACAAACTTTTACCGTCATAGCTTCACAGTGCACTACCCATCACATTAGATCAGTCAACCTTTTGCGGTTATTTTGAAGCTGTACTGTAAAAGTTTGTACCAACAGATTTGCTGGGAAAAACCCAACTATTCTTAATTCCTGGGTGAGTCTATTGCATACATGTACTGATTACATGGTCAGCACATCCTATAAGTCTATACATGTTATTATATCTTTGATTGTTTTTATGATTGTGTCCATTGGTAAGTATAATACTATTTATATTAAAGCTGCATGGCTCCAGATGACCCAAAATATTTCAAGAAAATTAAACTTGGAAAAACCATACTAAAACTTTGAGAAAAGTAAACAAATTAAAGATTCATGTGATAATTATGCCCCCACTTCAAAGAAGAGGGGGTATATTGATTTGCACTTGTCGGTCCGTAGACCAAATGGTTTCCGAGTGATAACTAAAGAACCCTTAGGCCTAGGAACTTCAAACTTGGTATTGTGATTGGTCATGACCAGCAGATGACCCCTATTGATTTTGGGGTCAAGGGGTCAAAGGTCAAGGTCACATTGACCTTGTAAGTAAAAACGTTTCCGATCAATAACTAAAGAACCCTTAGGCCTAGGAACTTGAAACATGGTATGGTGATTGGTCATGACCAGCAGATGACCCCTATTGATTTTGGGGTCAAGGGGTCAAAGGTCAACATCACATTGACCTTGTAGGTAAAAACGTTTCCGATCAATAACTAAAGAATGCTTAGGCCTAGGAACTTAAAACTTGGTATGGTGATTGGTCATGACCAGCAGATGACCCCTATTGATTTTGGGGTCAAGGGGTCAAAGGTCAAGGTCACATTGACCTTGTAGGTAAAAACGGTTTCCGATCAATAACTAAAGAACCATTAGGCCTAGGAACTTCAAACTTGGTATGATGATTGGTCATGACCAGCAGATGACCCTTATTGATTTAGGGGTCAAATGTCAGGGTCACATTGACCTTGTAGGTGAAAACAGTTTCCAATCAATAACTTAAGAACGCTTAGGCCTAGAAACTTCAAACTTGGTATGATGATTGGTCATGACCAGCAGATGACCCCTATTGATTTTGGGATCAAGGGTCAAAGTCAAGGTCACGTTGACCTTGTAGGTAAAAACGGTTTCTGACCAATAACTAAAGAATGCATAGGCCTTGGAACTTCAAACTTGGTGTGATGATTGGTCATGACCAGTAGATGACCCCTATTGATTTTGGAGTCAAGGGGTCAATGTCATATTGACCTTGTACTTAATGATGGTTTGTGACCAATAACTCAACAACTCAAGTTGCCTTGGTTGATATTTTTATATTAAACTAAAAATGCTTTTGGTATACACATTTGAAGGTCTTATGTAATTTAACAATTTGGCTGTCATTAATGAGGCCTACATGATTCATAAAATTTATGCATATATTATTTGTAAGATTTGTAATAACTTAAATTGCTGCACACAACCTATGGGGTCACAATAATTATTACCTTGTGACTAGTCATGACCTGTAGATACTAGATAACCCTTATTAATTGTTTGTTCACTGGGTCAGAAGTCATGCATAATAACCTGATCTTATGACTAATTGGCTGCCGATAGGGGGCATACATGTTTTACAAACATATCTTGTTTATATCTTATGTGCAATTAATGACTGTTTATTGTAGTACTTATCACCACATTTCTACTGCGTTACTAACTCAGTAGGAGCTATTTATGCATATTTTGATCTCTTTTTGGTAATAATATTTTAAAATATTTGTTTAAATTTGCTTTTAATTCTCATAACATGTCCACATTAACTACCAAAGGTTTTTTTAAACAGTCAATTGAGCACTTTAATGTATGAATTATTGACAGATCAATAAAATTGGACAACACTACATACTCAGATATGGAACATTAGAAATGTTTTACATGTGTTACAATGCACCATTATTAAGTAGACATATTTGAAAGATGTTGCAGAAAGTGGATATATTACTGTTTTTATAATGTTGCTTTAATTCTGTGTTTATTTGATTTTATGTTTGTTTATGTTTTAAAGCAAAATAAATATACATTGTGTGTTTTATTTTTATTCTAGCTAAAATACCAGACAATAAACTGGCAGAATCTTGTCCAAATACCACAGTTGAAATATCTGATGGCATTAAGACAGATCCAGACCTGAATGATGAGGCAAAGACTTATCCTGAAACAGAGAGTATAAATGTAGAATCAGTTGATATTATAACAGTTGATAATAAGAAAGATTTAAAGGCTCTGTCAGAAGATAAAAATTTAACAGATAATAGATCAAGTGGAAATGACATAAATAATTATAATGATAGTGCCATAGATTTGAGTGAAAAAAGTGGAAGATCTCATGAAGTTACACAAGATATTATACCTAAACATGATAGTGAATTAAATATAAATGGAAACACTGACACATCAAAAGAAGAAGTTTTATTACCAATGTTTGAGGATGATAGTGCCTTGGATATAAGTCTACAAACTGAAAGTGGTTCCAATGATATCCCTGAAGATGACAATGCTATAAGGAAAGATTTTAAAGCAAATGAAGAAGTTTTAACAGAAAAAGCTTAAAAAACTAAGATATGTCTTATTTGTGAAATACTGTTTATACAGTGTATTTTATTGAACTATGCACAAGTAAATGCCTTAGATAAAATTTGTGATATAACTTATATACATGTATTTCATTAAATGGTGAATGCTGAGCATTTTAGTAAAAAAGTGTATTGTGCTACTAAATTAAATATCACTTCCGCATATTGTTTGTGCAGCAGTATTAAATAAATTATTTATCCATTAATTATTAAATTGTTGATAAATTTTTGCATTTCTGCTTATTTCTACAAATTTCTGACCAATAATAAAATCAGATACAAGTTGAATTCACAATTAAGCTGGGTATTTATTCTGAATGATATTTCTACAGTAGACATTATCCGGAACTTGGCAAAAAGTGGGTTTTTCTTGCTACAAACTCTTACTGTTATATCTTCATGGTTCACTACCTGTCACAATGGATTTGTCAAGCTGTTGCGCTTATTTTCGAGGCTATAACTGTATGAATTTGTTTGTATTTACGGATCAGCTGGGAAAACCCTAAAATATTCTTATTCTCCAGAGTAAGTCTATCATCAGCACTAACTCAGAGTAAGTCTATCATCAGCACTAACTATAAACAAATGGTTAATTCCGGAGTAAGTCTGTTTCAAGATGATTCTGGGTCAAGTATCTTAGATATACAACTAGTGAGTATCTTCATTATAAAAAGCAGTCCTGCAGAAAAGTTTTCTAAATGACATTATCATCAAAGGTATTCATTTCAAACCTAAAATATTTGTTCACTATCAATGATTATTATGTGGGGACTACCTGTGAATCTTGTGCTGGAGCATGGGGTAAATTTATGTTTGAAGGTCAGCATAGGATGGGGGGCAGAGATTGGTGTTTTTATAATCTGCTTTATCAACCAAAGGAATAGCAAGTTAAACCAACGCCTGCAGTCTGTCTTTAACAATGCTCTTGACTACAAGTATTAAATGGAAACTATACATGAACAGAGCTTAAGATATATTAAGTTGGAAATATATCATCAAGAATTTATACAAGAGCACCGCAATATACGCCTGAATGTAAATTTGTAATCATAAATAATTTTTCATGAAAATTTTCTGAAAAACTTTTATAGGGGTTTACTAGGCAATGCTATATGTCAGATATAGAGGCATAGCATATAAACCAATTAATCCCAAGGGCAGGGATCTCGGGCAGCACGAACCTGTGTTCTGCACAACACCTCATCATAAGTATTATTTCTGCCAGAAAGTTTTAATTTCTTTCTATCAGTTTAAAAGATACAGAGCAGACAAAATTTTGAAATTGACACAAAATGATTAAGAATGTCCTTGACCTAAAAGGCCAAACTTGCACTCTGTTTAATTATGGTTGTTTTTTTAGTTTGATTCATTTTACGCTTTCCCCAATAGTATTTTAGTCATATAGGTGGGTAGTTTGCTAACCACCGTTCCTGGAGAGTTACACCAGTACTAGACTACCTTCCTCCGTGCTAAACTACCAAAGCATCTCCTGGGGATCAAACCCACGCCAGAGAGGTACCGGTAACTGGGTTGGAAGTCACCGACTCTAACCCCTCGACCACGGAGGTGGTTAATGACATTTCTGCAAAGTAGTTTCAATTTCCTTCCACTGGTTCAAAAAGATGTGAAACTGCTAACAGACCGATCACTAGGTGCATAACATATGTCGAAACCTTTCCATTCATATAAAAGGTGTGCTAAATCATTCCACATTAACAGCTAAATGAAGTGCTAAAGATTTTCAAGATTGTTTTGTCACAACTTCTATAAAGAAAGAGAAAACCTGAAAAACTGTCAACTTTTTTAGAATTGCCTGTAGAATCATTGTTCAAATCTGATTTTCTATCATACCAAAGAATATAACAAATTTTAAGTTCTAGCTTTATCTTTCTATACAATTATTAAATTTTCTGTCCAAAATTTGCACATTAACAGACCAAACATACCTTTAAGCAAAACTGATGTAACAAACTTTCATTAAAATTTATTAACTGGACAGAGGGCATCATTTTATGAAAACAAAACAAACACGTTTGGTGTTTTGTATCAACATCACATATATAAAAATGTATAAGAGAAAAGAAAGCCAATAATTTTACTTAAGAAATTTATTTTGTCTTGTCATTACATTACATTCTCCATTGTATGATATATTTTGATTGACTACTTGTAATTTACTTAAAAAAATTGACTTTACCATTTTATTTTCTTGAAACTCCAAATTTTTGCAAATAAAATTTAAAAAAAAATTTCTTTCAAAGACATTGAAAAAAAATTGAAAATTTTAAAATAATAAAAAAAATCATTGATGAGATAGGCAAACCATAAAAATTCAAAATGTGTGCTTCTACATCTGATTAAAAGTTTTGTCACTGTAAAGAATGTAAATAAACAAGAAAACAAAGAAAAAATCTGCAGGTATAGATTACCATGGTAACAGACCAAATTTTCCAGAAAAACGGAAATAAATGTTCACTGTTGACATGGTAATCTGAGGTTCAAAAGTTTCAGTTAAAAAGATGTTTCATAAGATGCAAAAAGGTAAACCAAAGGCCATTTACCCACCACAAACTAAAATTTCAATAAAAATATACCCCACCCTGTAAAAATATAAGACTACACCCCACCCATTAAAAATATGTCACATACCCCTCCCATTAAAAATTTAAGTAAAAAATCAACATATTAGTTTCTGGCCTTAATATCAACTATATGTTAATCTCTTAAAATTCTTATCAAAAATTAAAAAGAAACCAGATTACAATAGTGTAAGAATAATGTATTGAATAGAAAAAATACCATGGAACAAGTAAATCATATAATCAAATTGTTCATTTTATAAAATTTTGTAACAGTATAAATATTAGTTTAAATGTATTCTCCACTTGATTACAATTTATTTCTAATTTGTACAGAACATTTTTAGATATATTCAGCTTTCAAATATATTGTGATTTAAATATATTCTTTAGAAAATATCATCTATTCCCTTGATATCATCATTTGCCATCATTTAGTTTCTTTCGTATTAATTGTTAAGTTAAAAATAGAGTAATAATATTCATATAATATTGAAACAAATACACATGTCTTAAGTATTATGCAGGAATTATTATGCTATACAGTAATGGATTTCAGAAGATCATGTTTACAAATGATTGACTATAATTATGGATACTGGCCTAAATTATATCTAGTATATAGCATAGTACTTCACATAATGATGAAAACTTTACCCTATTATTAGTAACATTTCACTTAACACTGTAAAATACAAAATCTTTGTGTACAGAGAAATAAAATTTGTGCAAATAGTTGTTATGAAATGACAATATTTTTTTCTTGAAAGCAAATTTCAATGACAAATTAGTATTATATTTTGATGAAGTACCACACTATACATCACTAAAGTAACAAAATATGACTAGAAACAAAATTTAGAGGTAGATTCTGACAAAGAAAACTTGTTTTATAATCATGGCAAGTATATGTTTTTCCTACTGTACACTACACGTAAAACATTTCAGTGTACTGGTTTATAATTCACAACTATAGGTCAATATTTAAAAAGCAAAATTAAAAGGTATAGAGTATAAAACCAATAATTCTTTAACAGAGACAGAAAAAAAGCCATTTCTAACATTATTCATTGTCCATTAGATAGAGTTTTTTGTGTTCAAGTTTTTCTCGTTTAATTTGCAGGGCAGGATTCAGTGCTGGCATTACCGAAGGCAACTCCGTCAATAAGGTACTGACGCTCTCCATTGATTGCTAAATTCCTGATACATCCTTTATACTCTCCCTTTGCTCTCACACCTTTAGTGATATTGTCTGAAATAATATAAGAGTAAATTTGTAAATATGAAAAATGTTACCTTCAAAACAATTGAATTTCTGTAAATTCTATAATTTAAGATATTTTCAAATTTACTTCAGCAGGATTTGTGTTCTTACATGAATAAAGACAAAACCAACATAGTGCATTTGCGACCAACATGGATCCAGACCAGCCTGTTCGCTATCAGTTTCTTTACTTGTAATAGGGTTGGTAAGCGAACAGCATGGATCCTGATCAGACTGCGCGGTTGGTTTTGTCATGACACGGCTCAAATGTCAATGCAATTGTAAATTTTAAACATAGCAATTTGTAATTCCAACAACAGGGAAGTGCCCTTAAATTTTGGCTTAACAAAACTAAACTTGAGTGCAAAATGTCATTCTTGAGTGTTTACTTTATTTTACAACAAAACTTCAGTGTAACTCAAAATCTACACATTTTTTGCAAAAGATTTTATTTTAAATCTGATCTTGCCTTATTCTATAAGCTCATAGTACACAAGTTCACAAATAATTTTAAGCACTTAAAAAAATCTTTTATCCAAACAACTACAAGTAGTATGTGACACACTTACCTGGTTTACCTCCAAGATAGATGGGATTATTTGTATCTGCGGATGTTGCTGTGCCGGCACTACTTTCAGAGATTGGATCCTTGTTGTCTACAGTTAGTATTACTACATTCTTAATTTTCTCAGCTAAAATTACAAAATTCCATGATAAGTAGATTGCAATAATTATATCTGATAAAACCTGAAGCAATTACAAATACTTAACTCCAAGTAAAAGATACATCTCAAAATTAGACATTACGTTTTTATTTTAGATTGAAATATTAAAGGTAATTGTAAACTTCTAGGCATGAAATTCTGTTCTAAAAAGAAAAACAAAACAATTTAAGATAAGACAAAACACATCTGGCCTGCTCTATGTTAACAAATACTCACAAGGAAACTAACTTCACTCTAAAACTGCAACACTGTTCTCATATATATCAATATATGACAAATAAAAT